TTGTCAAATTTTTATTGGTTCAGTCATTTAAATAATTCTGTGATTGAATATTAATCAAAAATATAATTTTTATTTTTGGACTGGTCCAGGACCAAGTCTTAAATTTAGGACCCAGTCCTAATAGGACTCTTATACAAGACCAGGGTCTGATGGTCCAGGACTCAGACTTTAACAACTCTAGTTCCAGTGCAACTGATTACTGTCATCATTGTTGCTGAAGTTGTAGCCGCTAAAAATGGTGTTCTAGATGATATATTTGCTGGGCTGATGAGATTTTGCAGAGAAATTAGTTTAACGCGAGAAAAATGAACAAAAAATTTTAAAAGTGTCTCGACAAAATATTTATAATCAAAAAATCAATTTTATTTAGTGTAATATTGATTGAATAGCTAAATTAAAAAACTTATCGCAGTAAGCCAAAAGCGAAAAGTGAATTAGAAATAAATGATTAAAAATAAAAAACTAAAAATAATGCATATACAAAAATTTTGAACATTCAGGGAAAAAACTATGCGATTGTTAAAAAATTCTTTTAACATTAGTATATATATTATTTCATTTTTAAAGTTCTTTGATCTGAACACTATTTACTTTTTTGTTTTATTTTTTAAAAAAAAAATCATTTCTTTTCTTTACTTCATTTTCATATAAATTTGTAAGACTTGTTTGTGCATTGATATTTCCTTCTTCAGCGGCTACTTTAAATAAATCTAATGCCTTTTTTTATCAATATCAACTACTATTCCATTCGCATAAAAATATCCAACTTTGTATTGAGCCTCTAAATATCCTTTACTAGCTGAATTTTTATAAAATTCAAATGCTCTAATTTCGTTTCGATCAACTTCCTGTCCTAATTCATATAACTCCCCTAATTTATACAATGCAACTTTATTGTCATTCTCAGCTGCTTTATGATACCAATGATTGACTTTGTCAATATCATTCATTAATTTATCATTATCTTCATACATTACATCATCATCGTTTTTTTCAGCTGCTTCATTATATAATTTAAATCCTTTTACTCTACTAATAATTGTTCTAATTCCATTAATATAACAATACCCAAGTTGAAATTTTGCACTTAATTATTCTTATTTAGTGGCCTTTTAATAATATTCAAATGCCTTAAATTCATCTTTTTCAACACCATTTCCTAATTCATAACATTCACCCAATTTATACTGTCCAACCTCATA